ATTCCCCATCGTAGCTCCGCATGTGCACAAATACTCCATGTCACGAAATATGATTTAAATAAAGCTAAGAAGAAAAGGTAATGTGAACAGTTAATAGAGACCTTAAGATTGACGTTTACGGCAAACGTCAAACCGCTAGCGAAGTCTTTGATTTTACAACTCTATTATAATAGCTTTTACACCAGTTTTGAAATATGTTAAACTTATTAAACTTGTGCTCTTTATCAATGATTTAAGAAAGCAAATTAACCACTAGTCATGCCATTCACCAAAGCAGTAAATTAAGATTTGGCGTTTGAAGTTGACGTTTGGCGTATAAATTTCATGCTTTAACGACTACAAGCCCTCGTAGCAGTTCAAGCATGAAATTTATACGCCAAACGCCAACTTCAAACGCCAAATCTTAATTTACTGCTTTGGTGAATGACATGACTAGTGGTTAATTTGCTTTCTTAAATCATTGCTAAAGAGCACAAATTTAATAATTTTAACATATTTCAAAACTGGTGTAAAAGCTATTGTAATAGAGTTGTAAAATCATAAACCTCGCTAGCGGTTTGACGTTTGCCGTAAACGTCAATCTTAAGGTCTCTAATGTATAAAACTGACAACGGTAGTTCCACCCGAGAAATCACAAGACAAAGAAAAATTCCGCTCCGCGCGGAAAATTCCGCCTAGTGGAAAACCGGCTTAAAGATGATACGAGATATTGCCTTTCCAAGTAAATAATGGATTTGATAAGGAAATTGGCAACTCCCCCCCCCCCCCATTATGAAGTCCTTACTCCTCCTGCACACTCACCTACCTCTGAGTAAGCCTCCCTGGTCTGAACTAGGCCTAGAAAGTTGGCCCAGATTTGTACTTTATCCTAATTCTTATAATCCTAACCTTGACCAACACCCCTCCCTGCAAGAGGCCCTTGAATCCAGCAGATTGCCCGAAAAAATTGAGCAATTCTTCATTAAAATTGGTCAAATGGGGAAGAACGGCGCGTACTAAAATTGTCGAAATTGGAAGATATATGCTACGTATTTAAAATGTCTTTTTGTCCATCCTCCTTTCCCCCCCCCCGGAAACGTTCAATGTCTAGCATTGCCTTTCGTGTTTTAGGGAGATGATAAAAAGCTAGAAGCGAAAAGCAAATGAAAACAATATAGTTGATCAGATATTCTGTTTTTATGTAATAAACATCGATATATTTTAGATTTTTAGTGGTAAATTATGATTCAAAGTGCAATAAAATTTAACGTTATTTCGTAATTTACTGTCAGTATTCCTCAATTGTTTCAGCGACCCCCACCGCAACCTCTTTCCCAGGTTTTTCCCCTGCCTGCCAATCAAAATATCACATGATTTGGGGCGCGAAAAGGAGGGTATGAAGGAAGGGCGTGCCAAAACGCAGAGAAAACGTGGCTGAAGAAGTCATCTTTATAAACCAAATTAATTTCAATACCTCGTATTACTGTTCGTCGCTGTACGGATTTTCTTCGGAAACGACCGGAAGTGATTTTCAAGCAAAATATGAGCATTTTAGTTGGTTTTGAATCCAATATAAGTACGGAATACTAGCTTAGATGCCCAGTTAGTAACTTTATGCATAAAATTGAGGAAAACCACATAAAAACACCCTATGTAAATTAAAAGAATAAATGCAGACGACAGGAAACCGTTCCCGCTTTTTTCCGCTTTTGAAGTATTCCATAGAAGAAGTTCGGGTGTTTCAGACAAAGCGCGTGATATCAACGCGAGTTCGAAATTCATAATTTTGAGGCTTCAAAGCCGAAACATCTATGGCGAACATCTAAAAGAATTAGGGTGTAAAAATTCGATTTTTTCGCGTTTAAAATGGCTCCAACCGGCCAAGAAACGCAACAGATAAGAGATATTGACGATTTAGATTCCGCTGACACGAATGGAAAGAAGTTAAAACGAAATAAAAGCATAAATAATACCGCTGTTCTCGTGGCGAAATGTGTTGCTGAACACGACGATCTAAATCCTCGAGAAACTACAAATACTGGGGATAAGCTTCAATCCGAAACAGAAGTTGTTTTGGAAGATGGTAAGCTTAGGTTTTTGAAGAATTTCATCAAAGAATATTACTTAATTATCACTTTAATTTTTGGGAAAGAAAGCTGGTATTAAAAATGCGCCATTGTGGAATGTCGCAAGGAATGTCGTTTCAAATTATGTCTTCTGTTTTATAGGAAATTCGGCTTTATAATCGTAATTTTAGGAACAAAAAAGCTTTCATGAGTTGTATTTGATTTGTAGTGGTATTTAAAGAAGAACATTTAGCATTTTACACTCCTTTTGAAGGCTTTTTATTTCAGAATTGAAACGACGTCATAGGAGTCGGCATATTGAGTTTTAAATATTTGTAAATTTTGGGTAGAAATTTCAGCTTTTTCGTGTACATAATTGAGAATATAAGCGCTGTATTTAGTGGTTGGGTATTAAAGGACAATTTTTATGTGGTTTTCGGAAGTGTACTTGTACAATTTTTGGTGAAAATTAATTTTGTATGGCAGTTTCGTTTTTCCCGACAAATCTATAAATATGACGTATTTCTTCGAATTTTCGAAGTGGCGGCTAGACTTCGTGTTTGTGAAAGGTTTTTTTGTCATCAGAATTCCAAAATGTTCTTTACATTAGAGGCTGAAATGTAGCAATATTATTATAAGACATTGTATATAATATAGATTATTATTATTATTATTATTGAAGTTATGATTGTTCCTCAAGCCTGTATTCAGAAAATATCTAAAGCAACCGAATCGCGGGAGACACGGGTTCGATTTCCGTTGGGAGTTCAGATATTTTCTGAATACAAGCTTCAGGAATAGTCTTTACTTCACATATATCCAAGCTTTTATAATATATGATTTCATCAAAAATTATACAAGTTTTTGCTTCCTGATGAATTTTCAATTTCTCCAAAGCAAGCAAAATACTAGAGCGTTTCTGATTGGTTGCCAGAAAATCGGCTGACCGGACATTGGTACTTGCCACAGCAATGAAATACAAGTGGGTCTTGGCGAAAAAAGCATAACACTGCCATGCCATGATTCTCAATGATTTATTATCAAAATGCTGTCACCATGTTTGTAGCCCGTGTGCTTATGAGAGCCATTCACCTCCTCCCCCTAAACATCCACCATTTTGAATAATTTCAGGGGGGTGAATTCCTTTCATTAGTACACTGGCTAGGAACATGGTGACAGCATTGCAACGGTTGCACCAAAGTTCTAGGCAGAACCAATGAGTCAGCCTATCAAAACCGTGATGGGTCATTCCAGAAAACATCCATACCACCTCCACGGAGGAAATTGGAAGTTAACCCCCCTACGGATGTCCTAATACATTTAATATTATCAGAAACAATTTTGTCTCCCCTCCCCCTCCAGACGGCAGAAATTTCCTCCGTGGGGGGAGTGTGGATCTTTTCTGGAACGACCCAATCACAGAATAGGAACCTTACAGTACGTTTTGAAAATGGTGCTTTCGCTTTTTCATCAAAATTGTCTTAGTTTTGAAATGTAATGTGTCATTCCACGAAAGTTTCCCACACCCCCTATCAAGGAAATTTCTTGCATCCAGGGGGGTAGGGGAAGTCTACTTTTGATAATACAGGGTTCAAATATTTTTACTTGTCCATTGTGATAGGCTATGTATTTTTTGTTTGTTTTCAACATTATTCAACCTGCTTTATAACATTAGTCCAGGCCATCCCAGTTTTACAAATGATTTTTAAATTATGAATTGTTCACTCTCAAAATGTTCTGGGTTTTTTTTTTAAATAATTGTTACAGATTGAGGGGGGTGGTTTCTACTATTCAGAGGGGGATTTATTTCTGATAAGGCCAAAAAAATATGTGGGTTTCCGGTTTCTTCTTATAAAAACTTAGGTAGGGTAGGTAGGTTTTAACTTCTTTATTTTTTAAACTTTTTTTTTTAATTTTCTGAACGAGCAGACGCTATTTTGTTTAGTCAGTGCTTCCACATCCAGAGATATATTTCCCTAATATTGCCTCACATTTCAATTTTCCACAAACTTTTTCCTCTAAGTGGAAACACTTACAAGCATGATCCAATAAAACTGTTTAGGGTCGGGATTTCGACGTCCAAAAGCTAGGTAGGGTCGGGAAACCGGACGGAAACCCACATTTTTTTTTTGCCTAATAGTAAAATGTACTGAGATGTCCAAAAGGGGTAGGGGGTTAACATGTGTGGGAGGTGTGAATGTTTTCTGGAGTGACTCAATTGAAAATACTAATGAAGATGGATCTTATGTGTGTACAACTTACACCTCCATATATTGCTGCATACAATCCCATACCATAGAGGTGTTTAACCCCTCAGAAATATTGTTAGTTTAATTAATATAACTGTCTTAAATTTCAAGGATCCCTGGCTTACGTTTGCCTCCCCGTGATTGACATTCCTTGCCTTGGTGGAGTTGAAGCGTCTGCCAAAACCTCCACACTTGATTCTGCTAGTGCTTGGGACCAAAGTTTAGACCAAAGCTTTCAGACGAAAAATCCTCCCAGGACATGGCGATCGTCTGGGAAGGGCAAAAAAAGAAAGAAGCCGAAGGCTGGCTCGAAGAAGAAGATTTACAAAAAACACAAGACAGATGTCTCTATGCCTTCCTCAAATGAAAGCTTAGAGAGCTTTGTGTCCAACAAGAACACTTTTGCAGACACTGAAGTACCATTTGTGTTTTGTGGAGCTCAGCCCACAAACTGTAAAATAACTACTGGTGGTCGGAAACACAACAATGGTACAAAAGGTGGTCGCATTGCCACACAGCAGACTTGTGGCTCTGTCAAAGCTAGCAATAAGATGTGCTCTGATGTTCAATCACACAGGGGTGGTGGTGGCGGTGGAGACGGGGATGATGGAGATGATGGGAACAAGCCGCCGAGAAAGCCTCCTGATGCTGTGCTGTGCTGTAAGACCACCAAGCAAAGACGAAAGAAGAAAAAGACCAAGTCTAGTGAGATGGAAGTAGATGGTGGTAGCAATGAAGGTGGTGGTGACTGTCCACCCAGTTCAGCAAATGATCAAGAGGTGGGTTTTCCTTACTAGCTACAGTACAGTACTGCCAAGAAACAGTCCTGCCTCCAGAGCGCCTGCGTCTTGCGTCCACTCTGCCCGCGTCCTGCTTCCAGAGCGCTGCGTCCGGCCTCCACGACGCCCGCGTCTTGCGTCTGCTCTGCCCGCGTCCTGCCTCCAAAGTGCCGGCGTCCGGCCTGTAGTTAAAAACTGCGTCCGCTTGGATGCAGTCATCGTAACATAATCGGAAAAACGAATTTATATTTGCATCATACTCATAGTTTGTCGTGAGAATACAGATCAGTGTCACTGATAGGCGAAGCAAAGAATAAAAAGTTGAATCCGAAAACGAGTTTCATTGAACCTAAGCGTTACATTTAGTATAACCATTTTATAATGTTATACGTTATACTACAGTAAGCGTAGTGCTTTCACAATGCAATCACACGTACTTGAGTGGCGATTGAAGCGTATATGACTGTATACTGGAGCGTAAAATAGACATAAACTATATATACATATAATGTAGACACATATACTAAACTCAGTGAGATCGCGACTACAACAAGTATATATCACGCAACACATTCATTTGCTACTCAAATTCTGACTTACCTCGTAGAAGATTGCTGATTAGTAATTGATATACAATTCTGTATTTGAATAATGTTATGTCTCCATAACTCGTCAGTATATTAAAACGAAGATGCTCGCTCATTTACAATATATATAATAGTGGTTTTGATTTTTCATTTAAAATACCATGATTACTACGAGCCACTACACGTATATAACTTTATTTACAGCAACAAATTTTTGTTGTTTTTCCAAAACAAAGTAAATGCACATGGTGATATGTCATATAAATTGATAATTACCATATAATTTCTGGATAAACGACTTCTCTTAATCCCTTAATGGAATACCTTTACATGTCCAGGAAACCGTCTTTGTGTTTCAACACGGTTCAATGACTGTGACTCATCGCTTGATTTTCAAAGTTGCAGTATAATTCGCTAACGCTGAAGTGAAGAGCTCAGACTAATATCACTCGATTCGTATTACTATCAGACTAATAAAATGAGGTATCGATTGCTTACTCGTCAACCCGGCAAAATGTATGTTGGGTTTCTTCGAAGAAGATATAAAACCATACGTACATTAATTTAAAAGAATACAGGGTTTAAACCAAACGTTATACGAAGGTGCGAAAGTAGAGATCAAATACGAAAAGGAACTTTACGAAGCACAAATTCTGAAAATTCACGGTAAGTTTAATATTAGAAATATAAAAATCTAGGTCTGCAACGCTTGTGTATAAACATAAAAACGTGGTGTGAAATCACTAACATGAAAATGTTCTGACGCCCACGGTTTGTTTATGAAAATCGCAACGTGATAATTTCCGACGATCTACGAGGAGAACTCTTTCTCAGCTGCGTCCTTGCCCGCAGATGCAAAGCGGACGCATGGCGCCCGCATAGTGGATGCAGACGCACAACGGACGCCCGCAGGACAGACGCACCTGTGGACGCAAGATGCCCGCGTCTTGGACGCGGTTTTTGATAAGTTATTTCTTGGCAGTACTGTATGTTTTATTGTACACTATTGGATATGATTTGTATATTTGTTGCAATGAACAATACATTGAATGTTAGTTGAATGGTGAAACTGCTTAGTACAGAAAACATTCCAGTATTTGCTCTAAATGATGGACTATTTTGGTATTTTCTGGGTAGTTTCATAATTATTGCTACTAATGAAGGGCCTTTGAAGACATTGAAAGACCAATTAAAAATTTAAGTAGTTTTAAAAACCTTATTTATAGCAATTAATTAAATTTTTAGAGTATGAATATGGAACATTCACAGCCAGGATTATACATAATAGACAGATTTAGATCGAGGATGTGGACGTCAAAGACGATGTGAAAATGGCGTGTTGTGCCCATGTATTGATATGCCACTCCATTTTCATGTCATCTTTGACGTCCGCGTCCTCAATCTAAATCTGTCTAATGAATCACACCAGTCGGCTAGCTATTTCTATTCATAAGCTTTCAGCTATGAGAGCTATAGTAGGAAGCGTGTGTGAAGGCTATAGATATAGTATCTAGCCAGAGAACATTGCAATTCATTAAATATTTAGAGTAGTTCATAGTTCATTAAATATTTAGAGTAGTTCATAGTAGTTTGAAGTACAAGCATATTTTGCCAACTAGTAAAACGGAAGTAAAATATTCTTGTAGTAATAAATTTACTCGAACTCTTATAAGTGATTTGGCCAGCTATACATCATACAATTCAGCTTAATAGTTAGTACACTCAAAAGAGTACTTATTATATTAAAATTATTTTATTTTACTTAAAGATGGTATCAGTGCAAAAAGAACAAGTTGTGAATGAACAGATTGTGAATGTACCTTGTGTACAACCAGAACAGCCTCGGCAGCCAACTAAGCAGCTTCTCTTGATGTTACACAAGAGAAACACCGATATCAACCATAACAACTATTGTGGGAAGACAGCATGCGATAGATGTTCTGAGGTAAGACCCTTGCTAATCTTTTATTACATTTTATATATATGTATATTGTCTATGCCTTTACATGGATTTAAGACTTTCAAGGCTGTGGCCTGTTGCTTAGCTATAAGGACAGAGTAACCTGATTATATAATTGATGGTAGTTACAAAATGTACGTTTCTTTGCAGGTTGAAACAAAGTTAATCCGACATTATTTTGATGAAATGAATGGGTCTTGCAAGTGTAACGAATGCCAATTGTGGTCATTGGTACTCAAGTATCATACTTCGAAATGCCAGATTAAGATCTGTAAAGTTTGCATGAGGTAAGTAGAGTTGAGTAAAATCTGTATATTTTGCATGGGATATTGCATAAGGATGGGGGCAGCCCTTCTTGGGTTTATTTTCTCCCATTTTTTTCAAAGTTAAATTTTCCCTCAAGGTGGTTTTCCCTCACTTCTTAAACTTTGTAATTTACTTAATTTAAGTAAATTAAACTAGATGATTAAATTTAGTGTTAGCTAGATGAATCCTTCAGGTTAATATTATTTTAATTATTAATTTATTTAATCACAGGGCCAAGAAAACGTTACAAAAACCAGCCCCAGCAGCTGCAGTTATTCAAAAAAATGAATTAAATGTTCCAATGTGTGGGCAAAGTCTGGATGAAGATGATTTAATTGTTTGGAAGGTATATATAAAACTACATGTACATTCCAATTTTTAACCTGACGATACATTCTTTTTTGTCTTTACTCATCAACAAAGTGTTGTGAAATATAATCAGATTATATCTGTGATAATGTGGTCTAAATTGTTCTTTTTTCTGTCAAATGTCAGACCGTTTTTCTTACCATTCATGGTGAAGAGAAGACTTTCCCCTTGAAGGTTAAGATCATAGTTAAGATCGTTAGATAGAGTAAAATAATAAAATCAGGTGCATTGAGCAGGGGTGAGAAATATAGCGGACCATTGGTCCCAGAAAATTTTTTATGCTGGCAGAAAGAAAAAAGGGAAGTAAGAAAAAGGGGGAAAGAAAGAAAAGAAGGGAAAGAAAGAAAAGAATGGAAAGAAAGAAAAGAACGAAAAGGAAAGAAAGAAAAAAGGAGGGACAGAAAAAGAATAGGAGAGTAACTGCACCAATCAGTAGGGCCCAAAAAAAAATATGTGGGTTTCCGGTTTCTTCTTATAAAAACTTAGGTAGGGTAGGTCGGTTTTAACTTTTTTTTAAACCTTTTTTAATTTTTCGAACAAGCGGACGCCATTTTGTTTAGTCAGTGCTTCCACATCCAAAGATAAATTTCCCTAATATATTTGCCTCAAATTTCAATTTTCCACAAACTTTTTCCTCTAAGTGGAAACACTTACAAGCATAGTCCAATAAAAACGTTTAGGGTCGGGATTTCGATGTCCAAAAGCTAGGTAGGGTCGGGAAACCGGAAACCCACATATTTTTTTTTGGCCTAGCCATTTTGTTCATGGACAAACACTAATAGGGGGTGCCTCCAAAATAATTTCCGAAAGAACTTTGATAGCGGAATGTAGCCTCATTTGCAGGCAACTTTGTTCTACCCCCTTTGCCCTTTTGTTAGATTTGTATCGTACCACTGCCTTGGTTCCAAAATTTGCTATCTGTATCGTTCCCCTCCCTCCTTAATTTCGATTCCCAATTTTTATTTCTATAGGAAGTAGTAAGAGTAACAGTAATAAATGACTTTATTAGCATGACAAGTATTGCTTATTAGTTGGTATAATTATATACAAATGCAAAGTATTTTGTGGTAGTATGACATACTGTCAGTATCAAGTAATACAAGAAATAGAAATGAAGTTATTGATATAAAGGAAGACTTAGTTTACAGATGATGTTTCCATTGGGCAATTGCTTCATTATACATAACAAAATGTTCACTCACTGTGAAAGTGCACAAATTTCCATAAAGGCGAACAAAAACATAGAACTTACAATACCTTTTGTCCAGCTTCCAAATCATGTTTGTTTTCAGACAACTAATTATGATGCAAAAATTAATACAGTTTAAAACCGCTTTCCATGCAGTTTTCACAAATTCACAGTCTTTCCTCACTTGTTTATTTCAATTAAATCCTTTCCTCAGTTGCTTTATTAAAGTAAATCTTCTAGGACTGCCACAGCTTTTTATGTGGTACTATGGTTATTTAATAATTCTTAAATCTTATTAGTCCTCTTTGCAAGTGAGCCTTTAATTAATTTAAATTATACAGGATTTGTGTTGACAACTCGCTGAAAATTTTCCCACTTTTCGTTGCGGTCCCAGAAAATAAAATATTTTTTCCACCCCTGCTGATGCATTGAGGCTTAATTGGTTAAATTAATAAGCGTACCTGGAAGCCATGTCCACTCATTGTACTTTTGAACTCCATTAGTACACAAGACTCTCACATTGACAAGTACAGTTGTCTGGCATCGGACAGAGTAAAATAATAAAGTAGTGTCAACTATCCATGTGTTAATTAACCTTCATACCACTGAGGTTGTTGATCTGCTCGACGTCACACCTTGACCACATCCACTTAACCAATGCAAACAAATACGTAATGTTACAACATAATATACTGATTGCTACAGGATAAATGTGTTCCAGCAGACATCACACATTTCAAAGAGGACCATCATTATATGTTAAAAGATTCCATCCTTGGTAAAGGTGGTCGTGGAGCAGTCCAAGATATGTTAATGTCAGATAATGTCAAGAAAAAAATGTTCAGCTCGGATTGTATTGACTTTGTCATGAAAAAGGTACTTCTAAACTCAAGAATTAAGTACAGTAGTTCACTATTTAATTTCCATACACGACATTTATAAGAGCAAGAATATTAAACTGTATCTCAATTAAGTTCTTTGTAGGTTTGCATGGCGATCAATAAAACATGATACTTTTTGTTCATATTATTAGCACTGATGAAGATCTGGGCTTACAGATCGAAAGCTTTGCAGTAATAAATTTATGTGGTGTTTCCACAAACAAAAAGTATTATATGTATCTCAATTATTTTTATTTGTTACCATGCAAACTAATCAGCAACAAGACTACTATACTATAGTATAGATATAATGAACAGAATGTATTCTTCCGGAAAGTATGTCACCTTTGCTATAGTGCCTTTGTTTATTGACTATAGCCGAAGTGGCATACCTCCAAAAAGGGTGTATTAGGGTCATTTTCTCTCTGATAACTGTCTCGTGTCTACCATGGCATCTGCTTCATAATTCCGGGTGTCCCGAAAGTGTAAGGTAAAAACTATAAAAGCTATTACACTCGAATAAATTTTATTGTATTCAGTAAAAGCTAACTTAGATTTTGATATAAAGCCCTAAAAGTGTCATTTAATATTACGTGAGATACAAATATTTGAATTTGGCGCACACTTTAAAATGACCAAAAAATTGAGAAATGTGCCTGATAGAGCTGTGTGCCGGAGCTCCGGCGTGTTTTGTATTAAATGGAAAAATTAAGTTGTTTACTAATATATTACTATTTATATGTTGTTTTACTATATATTACTATGTTTACTATTAATACAGTAGTGTTGTAAAAAGGGGTTTAAAAAAGATAAATTCTGAAATTACACTGGAATGCTTTTGCCTGCTTTCACTTTTAAATATGAAATTTCCTTAAAAATTTCTTGCCGGAGTCGTAGTTTTGACTGCCAGAGGTAAAATAACCGGAGTTTGCACAGCTCTAAGTCGCCTGATAAAATTTTCCACAAAAATTTTCCACTCAACTTTAATTTTGGGTAATGTTTTAGTTAGCCTTTCTTGTTTCTTGGGAAGCGAAATGAGCATGAAACATCTAAAAACGTTTGAAAGCATATTTGATGTCCTTTGCCTTTGGGAGTTTGTATTATAAGTTGGTATTTGTTTGCCTTTCAAATATGCTTCGACTAACAAAAGATTAAAGAGTTTCGGTTTTATGGTTTCTCGTGAAAGACATTGTATACGTGAAAAAGGACAGACTCTCTGTGACAAATGAATAAATTCTTTATGTGCAACCGCAATTATGTTTTTCATTTGTTCTTTTAGCCACAGTAGAATTATATATCAATTTTAACCAAATAATATTTGATTCGATTTAAAACATATTGGTAACTCAGTAAATGTAGCACAGGCATTCAAATGTTATATATCAAAATTAAGTTAGTCCTTTCTGAAGACAATAAAACTTGTTTGAGTGCAATAGCTTTTATAGTTTTTATGTTACATTAAATCAAAATTGGGGGGGGGGGGGCACCCGGCAGTCAGGGTGCAATATTTTTTTTATAAAACCTACATATATTGTAGTCCATTATAGCATATTTATGTTACATTTACTTTAAATTTGTCTATTTGTATAGACAAAGGAAGTGGGTGAGGACGAGAAGTGTTTGTTTGAAGAAACGGCAAAGCACCCAAACTTTGTTCAGACTTTTCTTCTGGTCAAGAAGACACACCCTGCACCCCATCATTGTATAGTCATGGAGAAGTGTGGTTAGTATATAGATCACCTTGAGGTTGTTTCAGGGATCGAACTAGCGGCTTGCTATTCGCAATTTGCGAATGTAAATTCGCTTTTTGCAAATGCAAAATCAACCATTTTGCGAATGACGTTTTGCAAAAACAATGTAAAAGGTTTACATAAAAGGTTGATTTTCACAATCACTTCGAATGTATTTTACTACAATGGAAGATATGGAGTATTTTGCTGACTATTATGTAATTTTGTACTAAGAAGATGTGTTTAATCAAGAACATGGCTACAATTTCTTCAGAAAATTTACGAAATTCGCTATGAAACGACCGCCATTTTGTTTTTCGCAAGCAGTGTTTTCACCTATGGTTTTCACTTTTCAAAACTGAAATTTCCTTCAAATTGTCAAGAAGGAAATTTGCGAATTGATTTTTCCTGTCTAATTCGAACCCTGGGTTATGATTCTTACAATAAGCAATTGTCTGATTATAATTTTACTTCAGTCGCATGTGAGAAGAGTGTTTGACTCTACTCTGGTACACACACAGAAGTCTCACATCTTGTAGCAAGTCTGCCAACAAGTTGTCTTCAGACTGCTTGTCCCAAGTTGTCAACAAACTGTTAACAACTTGTAACAACCTTGTTGATATTACCATGGATAATAAAATAAATGGATAGGAAACTAGCTGACGTGACCTAATGTTTTTAATGGGCTTGATGGCGTGGTTGGATGCCTCAACCTAGTCACAGAGTAGATAAGACATACAGAGACACTGCGGAAGATTACGTTATCATGTACCCACTTATTTTCAGACGACCGGGCGAAAAATGATCAACTGCGCGTGCTCAGCAGGTTTAAAGTGAGTCGTCATCAGGTCGTCATCCAATCAGATGCATGCAAAAAAAGTGGGTACACTAGTTACGTCTCTGTATGTCTCTACTCTGTGACCTAGTTGAAAACCAAATTCTCAAAAACGGCATGTTTAGCAATAATACAGCTAAACATTTTGGTCAAAGAGCAAATAAATATAACCACGCCATTCTACGATGAAAACTCTAAGTATTCCCAGTCAATTTTAGCAAATATTTCAAGCACTAAACAGTGAAAAATACATCGCAAATTTCGTTAAAATTTGTGACGCCAATTTCGTAGCTACAAATGTAAAAAAATACAAAACAAAGACGAAAAACATTTACCTAGCTTGAATACTTTGTCGTGGCTTAGGCATGTTTTTAAAACAATTAGACCAGTTTATGCTTCAAGATCACCCTTTTAATGTGGAAAATATAGCAAAACAACAAATATGCCGAGAACTTTGGCATAGATTCATCTGTGACTTTGGTAACATTCGCAATACGCGTGACGTCACGTTTTTCAACAAGGATGCAGTCAATGACGTCAGAAGTTTCCTATCCAGTTATTTTACAATCCATGATATTACTGCGGATTCAGGTGGACCGTTAAATGTGAATAGTTGTCGCGTTAGTTTTAACGGTTGCAGTACGATGACGTTTCTAGGCAGATTTTCAGACATTATTATTATTATAAAGAATATTTTCACAGGATAAAAATGCTTTAGTAATAAATTACTGCTACCAACGCATGCCCTGTATTTCTAAACTACAATCTAAT